TTTGTTTTAACATCATATTCTATGTCTATTCTTGTTTTAACTGACTCCATTTTGCTCCGTTACATTTGGTTTTATTCTCTTCAAACAAAGTAATAAGAACTGTAGGAGTAAAAAAAACCTAAAATGTGTAATTGTTATTATAAAAAAGAGAGGGAAAGAAGGTGCTCTAAAGGATATAACCACATGTATGTTTAAGTGTGTAAAACGGATAAACCATATTACTAAGTTTTTGTTGGATCATTGAATAGAACAGTTTGCAGTCTCACTGTTTAAATGTCCACTTTGTATGCTTTAAGTTTGTAACTTGAACAGCGACTTCTAAGATGACAATATGTAATCTATCAACCAATGATTTCTTACCATGTGGTTTTTTGAAATTCGGTATTACTTCTACCCTTTTTTCTGTTTTACTTTTTTTCTCTTTAAATAAAATCCTTTATAAAAAAAGAAGCCTAGAGCTTTCTGCCCTTGGAAAATGAGAATCACAGAGAGGGGTGATGGGGTAAAAGAGGCTGAAGGAAGATAAGCCATTGCCTGGATTTATTGTCATTACCAGACAGCAAACACAGGTTGATCTTAAACAGATGATAAGTTTTACATAAAATAGGAGGTAAAATAAAGCCTTTCAGAGTTCAAACTCTATAAGACATAGGTGTTCCAAGAGACAGATATGGCCAACACATAATCATGGAGAAAGAGACTGTCATACCCAAGAACAAAATTCCTGATGAAGAACAGGTTTGGAGCAGTCAAAACTGAAGAGTGGCAAAGGAGACAGGTTGTCATAGGAAGACACACAACAATGTCCCAGTAGCAGGAGAAATTGAGTGCTGTAATGGTTTAGATTTAACACTATGTTTATAATGTACACCCAGTATGTGTTTCCAAATAATGTGAATAGTAATGCTACAATGTAAAATTTACTGATTTTCATGAGATAAGCATGAGTTCTAAACCTAATCCTCTCTTCAGGAGTTTCAGCAATGTGATATGCCTAAACACATCAAAGGATTTCCTTTTTTTCATCAATATCATCTGTCTACACTTTGGGATGAAACACAAGACATGAAAGTTAATGACAGATCAACTTAGGAAGTAGATTTAGCAATCCTGCTGTGAATACCGGCAGGGTCTTGGAACTCTCTGATGTCATCAACAGATCACAAAACACTGCTGCAAACTCAGTTATGGCTGGTATCACAGCAACTGTGGTGCCACACTGAGCATTACAGAGCACAGCGATCTGGTGAACAGATAGTGTCTTATGTCATTTGTTGTTTGTGGGGATATAAATTTCATTCCTTAATAGCATTAACGATTCTCTGAAGCTCAGATAGAATCTCACTTGATATTAGGCTAGTAAGCCTTCAGAGCGTTCAGCTATGAAGCATAAAGAGAAGAAGAAACATCCCAAGAAAAAAGTCTTACAACAGCCTGCGAAAAAGGCAAAATGTAGAAGAGGTATGATTTAGCATATTCTTGGGGTGTAGGGACCTGGGATTTGCCTTCTAAAAAAGGAAAAGAGCGAGCTTCTAGGTTGCATACAGGAGCAGTGGAGAGACAGATAAAGCCAGGGAAGAGAAGTGACTGGAAGAGAGATGGAGAGAGAGCTGTGTGTCTTCCTAAAGGTCCATGTAGCCTGGGAGTAGGGGAAGACTCGATGACCCAGGTCTTGTCACTGTTCCTTAGAGCTGAGTCATTCTGTCCCATAGACATATTGCTGTTGTTGTTAAAAATGTGTTTTCTGTCACTTATATTAAGGGCACATGAAGTAAAGGAAATTGTAAGTTGTAAAAGTAGTTTTTCACTTGTGAGAGAAGAAACTGTGTTTTATAGAACTGAAGAAAACATTTGCTAAAATTTTAAACATATGTGGGTAGGAAAGACTATAAAGTCATAAATAATTATTTGTTCAAAAGTGAAAAAATCTAGTCTTGGTTCAGACAATGAAAATGTGTCTGAGGACATCTTTGATACAAGGCTGCTCAGTCAGGAAGAAACCAAAAATAATCATGGTTAAAACAGCACGTGTCAAAGAGAAACACATGATAGACTGCAGGAAGCCCAAGTTAATCATAGGATTGGGTTTTGCTCAGGAAATGGTGGGTGAGTGCCCGAGCAGGAAAGAGACTCATCAGAGTTGCAGAGGAACAGCATGAGCCAGGGAAGAGCACGGTAGACTGACAGGAAGGCACAAAGGTGCTAATGGCTTAAATGAGGCTCAGCACAATAGAAGCCTCAAAAGGTGTGACTGGAGACACATAGAAGAGCTACCCAGTCCAAGAACACAGCACCTCCACGTGTTGTCCTAGCCAGTACTCTCACATGTTTTCCTACACAGACTCATGTGCGCTGCTACCTACTTCTCTCATTATCTTACAATCTGCCACGTGCACATGAATTCCATATTCTCATATTGTTTACCCTACTGTGGAAATAATAATAATTATTCTGACTTCTAAATGACCTTACATTCATTGTCTTAGTTTTTCTTTGCAATGCTGTATAAACAGAAGCACAAAACATGTATTTTTGGGGCTGGGGATTTAGCTCAGCCACATAAGCTCCTGTCTTGCAAGCAGGCGTTTGTGAGTTTGACCCCCGGTACCAATTAACAAAACAAAACAAAAAACAAACGTGTATTTTTTGGTCTGGGTCTTTTCACTCATATTCATGAATGTTATCCATGTGGCATATGATCATAATTTGGATGCTGCCACTAGTGCATATAACCCATTGAGTGAGGAAAAAGAAATTATTCATCGATTATACTTTTATGGACATGAGGACTGTTTTCATGATGGGGAGAGTAAAGTGACTTTTATATTATGCAGTTTTGCTTGCTGGCTATAATTTGGAATATGAACACATTTTTGTGTGCTGAAATTATAAGAACATCTATTTCTCTATGTTAGTCAATTCAGAACTTAATCTTTTGCTGTGTTTTCTGATGCAAACACATACTCATATAGTTTTTTTTACAGTCTTCGCAGAAACCCATATGTTTTGTATATATTTTCAAAGTCTTGTATTTTTAAAATTCATGTTTTGCTTATACACTTCAATATTTGTATCCTTGTGATCTTTGTTTCTTTAGATTTCCAAATAAACTAATCAATACAATTGCCGAGACTATTTTAAAGTATACAACACATCTAAACAACAGAGGTCATGAAAATACACACACACACACACACACACACACACACACACACACATACACACACATATACACACACACATCCTTAACAACATTCAGACTGCACACACATATGTGTCAAACTACCACAGAGACACTAAACAGTGTCATTCCCATTCAAACAAAATTTCTCCCATATTACAGATTCGTAACCATCAGATTCATCTCACCTTAATTCCTAATTTTAAGCAACATGAATGATATGTTAAGATATTTCATGATATGATCTGTCTGCACCCAAAGTTAAAGGAGGATAAGTTTATATTAGTTCACAGTTTGTAGAAGTTTCCATTCCTACCCACTTGTTCTAAGGCAAGGTGACATGGCAGAGGGGCATCATAGAAGGGAAATACTTCATGATAAGCAGGCAAAAGGCAGTGAGGCAGCAAGCAGCAAGCAACAGCAACAGCAGTAGCAGCAGTAGGCCTGCCTTCCTCAATCCCTTCGTGTTCCATTCAGGCTGTAAACCTATTGATTGGTGTCATCCACAGCCAGGGCTTCACACCCACAACCATATTCATATCTCCTAACCCAGACACCTTTGAAACTCACCACCTATGACTACCCGAGGCCTTGGGGGGCCATCTGAATACAATCCATACCACCATCTTATTATTTTTATCTTTGTATGTAACTAGCCATCATCTACTCATATGCATATCAACACCTCTGAGTATACTGCATGCACCAAAGTATATGAGTCCACAATTCTTCATGAAACTTGTACTACACAGCATTTATTAATACAATTTATTACCCAAAAATTGAGGTAATAACTGTAGTAGTAGTAGTAGTAGTAGTAATAGTAATATATCTGTTGGTAAATTTATGTTGCATTTTAAGCATAGTTAAATTCCAAATAATCTCTATATATCTCAAAAATGCATACATAGTAACTAATACCAGTGATACCCACCTCACACAGTTTTAATAACAATTATTTACTATTATTTTCTTTGAGGAATTACTATGGGTGGTAACAATGCTAGAAATCCATCTGTTCTGGAGTGACAAAGCACCTAGACTGTGCTATGTATCAATATGTTTATTGTTGCTGCTCCTCTAACTCCCCAGAATTGGAACACTCTCCAGAGCATGTCTCTGAGACACATGAGGTGGTTCCAAACTCAACTCTGGAAGAAGGAGAGAATTTCTCAGCCTCAGAGCACTTGCCCTGTGTTTCTTCTTCAAGCACGCGCTTTCCTGTGGACCAGGATGGTAAGGCAGACACAAAGGTGACCTCAGCGTGGCCAACAGGTGCAGCTGAGTGGCCTCCCACCCTACTCACTTCACGTTTCCTTCACATCCAGGGCAGGGCCTCAGGGAAGAGGGATGAAGACTGACTCCTCTGGGGAGGGGGACAGATAGGAAATCTGCCTTGCAGAGGAGGCAAAGCTCCGCAGCACACATTTCCATGTGGACACAGAGGCGGATGTGGGGAGGTGGTGGCCCATGTGGAGATGTGCAGGGGTTGGGATCAAAGCCTCCCCTCAGATCAGTGCACACTCAGCTCACACTCACATTTCACACTCCTTTATAGAAAGTACAAGCTGCTTTCTCCTCCTTTTTCCGTTTCTGCTCACAACTATCTCTTCTCTCCACATTGACCCAGTTCCTACGGGCATTACATATGTATGGCCTTATGCCTGCATTCCTAAACTCATTCTCACACTCGCCTCTCTACACTTAATCTGTAAATAACAGCACGTCACCTCACATGGACCCGTTTTAACTCCCTAATGCTACTGGTAGACCAAACACTAGAGAACTCTTGTGCCCTTTAAATGTGTGTTTTTCTTACCCCAATGCTGTATCTTCCACCATGGCTTCAGCCCTTCACAGAGCTATGTCCTCATGTCCTGAGGACATAAAAGCACTTCCTGGGGCTGGGGATTTAGCTCAGTGGCTTAAGTGCTTGCCTGATTGGCATGAGGTCATGAGTTCAATCCCTGGTAACAAAATTTAAAAAAATAAAAACACTTGTCTAACAGGTAAGGCTGCTATTACAGCATCTGCCTATTCACCACTCACACAATAAATCACATGTGCTGTCACACAGTATCACACATGCACATACACATTCTGTCCTATCTGTATTTACCAGTACCAAAAACATTCACCAAATGTGTATTGGAATATATATATATATATATATATATATATATATATATATATATATACAATTTTTCTAGATGGTACACATATCGATTTTTCACATACAGGTACAATGCACACATATAACACAAAACACATACAGAATTCTGAATATCACAGATATGCCATGTGCCCCCACCTGAGGATATTCTCATCTTACTTGGGAAGCTTTGTTTTCTACACACCAAGACACTACCTCCATGTGTTCCAGGTCCTGGATCTTCCAAGATGCTTCCAAATCAAGATCTCATGGAGACGGAGAATTCCTCCTTCATGCTGTACTCTGAGTTACCTTCCTCCTTGGCCAGTAACCCCTCAGTGTCTGTAGCAGCTAGTGCAAAGGAAAGAATACTGAATGTTTACTGCAAGCCTGTCCCAGTGAAGAGGGGTGTGGCTGCTCTGGAGGATACAGAAGATTTGGAGCCTCCTGCAAAGATGATAAAAATAGGAAACATTGTCTGTCAGGAGAGGATCCCTCCAAAAGTCAGCTTCCCTTCTATGAGCCTAGCAGGTATCCTAAGTATTGGTGATGGCACTTTGGATAGTGAATGGCAAGGAGAAAGAGAAGAGGCTGGGAAGCCACCTGAGAATCTGGCCCTCGAGGCAGATCCCAGTGCCATGGCACCTGCAGAGCTGGAGCACATGTATAGTGGCTTTAGGTGCATGGGCTGCCTCCAGGTCTTCCCTAATTTGCAGATGCTCAAGAAACACCTGGAAGATGGGGCAGAGGAGGGTGGTTCATGCATTAATTTTGCCTTTTCCAAAATGAATAACAGCAAGATCTCAAGGAGGATGGAGACAAATACAACAGCATATGGAGATGATATGGAGATGGCTTTATGGGTCTTGGCATTTTATGCTTTTTGTTTCTTTTTGTATTATTATTATAATAAATAGTAACTAAATATAATAAATAAAAACTTCCATGTCTGTAAATAATAAATGAGAGTCACTAACTGAAGAGGCCTTGAGTAGCTTCTTCATCCACAGAATAGCAGAAAGAAACAGCACCTTCACCAATTAAGTCTCTGATTACGTTTTTGCCCACCCCTGTCCATTCTCTCACCCCGTTCATTCTGCTGCTTCCAGATTGGAACTCAAAGGTCATTTTTTATCTCATTATTTATTTTTATTAGTATATGTTGGTTGTACACAAAGTTGCCATTCCTCGTTCTGAATTGGTTCGTGTATGGAACACATCCTAATCTTTTTGTTACCCACTTTTGCACCCTTCCCTCTCATCTTCTAATGCCTTTCACTTTTTGGAAGGATCTACCTCTCCATATTCTATCATCCACTTTTATTTTGCTCTTTAAGCTTCTTTTTAGAGGAGAAACCATGCGCTACTTAAACTTGTGAGTTTGATTTATTTCACTTCACATTAGGGAACATCCATTTTTGTACAAATGACTCAACTTTATCTATACTACAGAGTAGTATGCTATTGTGTTTTTGTTTCGATTAAGATGCAAAACAAAATAGGATAGAAATGATACAAAATTTCAAAAAAGCACAAAGTAGGGAATTAACATGACTTAAAAAAATTGCACATTGTTATCTCAGAACTAGTTGTTCAGGTTACAAAATCTAGATATGAAAGTGATTGAACAATGACAGCACAAATGGTTCTTTTTGGTGAATGAAGAGATTAATAGTAATTATCTATCTAGTGGACATATACATACATAAATTTATATGTTTACCAACATACATATAGTCTTTTTCTTTTTTCATTTCCCCTATCTTGGTACTTTTGTCCATTTATTTTTTTGTGTGTGTTTTTTCATGTTTTTTATTTTGAAGAGAGTAACACCAAATGAGAAAAAACAAAATAGAGTCAATCAAAACAAAAGGATCAACATAGTACATGACTTAAAAACAAAATATAGGGAGATCGACATTGGCTACCATAATGCCTTGTTATCTTCAGAAGAATTGCCCATATCATCAGGCATTATAAAATTGAACATAAGTGTACAGAACAAAACCAATAAAAATGAAACATTGGAGACATTATAGGGCTTCAAATAGTCCAACCAGAATGGGTATCATAGTGTATCTTATTGCCTTCAAAGTACTTGCCAATACCATCAGATTGACATTATCAAACAAAACAATAGAATAAAATCAGTCAAAACAAAATAGTGAAAGCATTACAGGGTTTCAAGCTAATAGGAAACCACAAAATGGTTACCATAATATATCCTGCTATCTTTAGAATAGCTGTCCATGCCATCAAATCCAATACAAGTAAACAAACTGAAACAGAATAAGACCAAATTAAAATTAAAACAATATGGGATTCAGATTATGATAATAGATTAACAATGGCCACTGCCTGCCCTTTTTAGAGAATTCCTCCCCTTTCACTTTCACAGGATGTCTTGTACACTTTGGATCCCAATAACAACTTTAGTTTTTATATGAGGGAGGCAATCTGCTATTCATCTAAGTGATTCTGAACCTTTTTACCCCTGAGCATGATCTCAAGCCGTATCCATTTGTCTATAAGAGCCTCCAGGTTTTCTTTCTTTATAGCTGAGTAGTTTTGCATTGTATAAATGTATCATGGCTCTCTAACCTATCTGTAGCTGATGGGCAGTCCTCCCCACATTGTTTCTGGTTCTCTGGCACACAGAGCATTGTTTTCTCATCTTTGACTTTCAGTCTATAAACCCCCTTTCAGGTTAAGTGTAGTTCTTAAAAAAGCATGTTGATGGGCCCTATTTCCTGATCCCCTCTGACCCTTTCTTTTCATTGGTGAATGGAGGCCCTCTGTATTAATGATTATGGCTAACCTCCTCTGCCTCATCTCTGCCATGCTATTTTTCTGGCATTGGTTGTCTACTTTTCCCATTCATTTCAGTGCAGTTGTCCAGTCCGCTACTCCCTTCTGCACCTGCATTTACCCTGAGAGGCCTTCAGGCTTGCCAGCCACTGGCTTCACTGTGACCGTGCATCTCCAGGTTCCAACCACGGTGCTTCTGGTTCCAGTTTAAAGCGCCACCAACTCCTGTCTTCTTCTGTTTAAGTTTTTCTTTTTTTATTCTCTCTGTGGGCTTCAATTCTCACTTAGTTTCTTTCTGGGTCGAGGGGACCCAGTTCCTTCCTTCCTTCCTTCCTTGTCTTCTCCAGAATGCTATATTCCAGCATCTGGACTGTTTTTCCCAGAGAGGCTGTTCACTCCACTGTTTGCTATTCCTCCATCTTTGAGCCGGCCTATTTCCATTTCACATAGCTAGTAGATCCTGTCTGAATTTCGAAGTATGTCAGATTTCGAAAACTTTTTTTTTAATTTTAAAGGGGGTAAAATTAAACACATCAAAACAGAACAAAATGGGACATAACAAAGCAATGTAAGAGATATACATTTCAAACCTTGATGACCTGAGATCTTCACTCTCTATCATATTGTCTCTTGTTTTCTTCCAAATAGTTGTCCATGTCTTTGCATACAGAGAATTTATACAAAAACAACATACTATAAAATAGATCAGAACAGAATGAGGAAGGCATTTTAGGTCTTCAAAGCCAGACAATAGGGAAGTCACAAATGACTGTCGTAGTCTCTGGTTCTCTTCAAAATAGCTGTCCATACTTTTATGCATACTGAAGTTCAAGAAAACAAAACAGGCAGTGTGGGGAGGGGTTGCTTGGTTTCCCAGTGCTCGAGGTGCCAGCCTGGCGTGGGTCCCAGTAAATGCCTTTGGCTCCCATCCTGGACCACCACAGCCAGATTTAGAAAACTCTGACAAGTTCTTTGCAATCTAGAAAATTCTGTTTTCCTTGCTTCCTAAAGAAGCCACAGTAGAAATGGAAACTACTGATGGAATGACCAAAAAGAGCAGTTCTGTCCTTTTGAACACTTTCTTTCCCTTTCATTATTACAATATCTGTTGTATATTTTGAATCTTATTACCATTTCAGGTTTTTATTTTTTATTTTTATACTAGGGAGACAATATGGTATTTATAAATATGAGTTAGACTTATTTCAGTTATGAGTATGGTCTCAATTTGCCTCCATTTACTTATAAAGGCCTAACATTATCCTTTTTATAGCTGAGTAATATTCCATTGTATATAAATACCACATCTCTTTTATCCATTCTGCATTTGATGCATTTGGTTGTTTCCAAGATTTGCTTATTACAAATTGTACTGCTATGAACATGGGTGCACATATATCACTGTGGCATGACATTTTCAGTTTTTCTGGGAAAATACCCAAAAAGGGAATAGCTGGATTAAATGGGACTTCCAGGCCTAGTTTTTTTGAGAAATCTCCACACCAATTTCCATAGTGATCATGCCAGTCTACACTTCCACCAACAGGGGAGAAGCACAGCCCCACCAATATTGGTATCAGTTGATTTCTTGAAGGCAGTCATTCTTTCTGGAGTGAGATGGAATCTCAATGTTGTTTTAATTTGCTTTTCTCTAATGGCCAGGGAAGTTGAACATGCCTTCATGTATTTGCCATTTGTATTTCTTCCTCTGACAAACGTGTGTTCATTTCAGATGCCCATTTTTGGATTGGATCTTTGAATTGGCAGGGGCTGATTTTTTTTCCAGTCTTTATGGATTTTAGATATAAGTCCTTTGTCTGAGGTATAGCTGGCTAAACTTCTTTCCCATTCTGTGAGTTTTCATTCTGTTTGTAATTTCTTTTAAAAGTACAAAAATATTTTAATCAGACAAGGCCCCAGTTGTTGATTCTGGGAAGTATTTCTCATGCAGTTTGCCTTTTGTTCTTGAACTCTTTTCCTACCCCAATGTCTTCAAGATTTCTATCTACTTTGTCTTCCAGTATATCTAGTGTTTCTGCTTTAATATTTAGATCTTTAATCCATTCTGGCTTTAGTTTAGTGCATGGTGATAAACATGGGTCTGGTTTCAGTCTTTGGTATGTGGAAAACCAGTTTTTCCAACACCATTTATTAAAGAGGCTATCCTTCTTCCTTTGAAAATGTTTAGCCTCTTTGTTAAAAATAAGGAGGCTAAGTGTCTTTGTAGTTGTGTCTGCATCTTCTAATCTATTCCTTGGTACCTTCATTGTTTTTTTGCCAATGCCATGCTGATTTTATCACTGTAGCTCTGTAATATAATTTCAAGTCAGCGATTGTGATGCCTCCTGCCTTACCTTTGTTGCCCAGAATTACCTTTGTTATTCTAGGTCTCTTCTGTTTCCAAGTGAATTTTAGGAATGTTTTCTCTAGATCTGTAAGCTATGTTACTGGCATTTTGATTGGATTTGTATTAAATTGGTATAATAGTTTTGGGAATATGACCATTTTCACAATGTTGGCTCTTCCTAACCAAGAACAAGGAT